ACACGCGTCCTGATTAACAGCACAAACTAATCGATTACCGGCAGAAAGGACTCTTGTTCTAATGACTTGTGACTTGTACGTAACGTATATTAATAATCTTTATTCAGATACGGATATCAGCTGTAGGTCACATTGTTAAAACTGTTTCCCCCCCAGGACCAAACATGAGGACGCTTTCACCAACAGCACCTTCATTTTATTGTTTTAGTACCAAATGTTCATTGTGTGAAGTGAGGAATAATGGAAGAATGAACCAGATCTTTTCTCCAGCTCTCTGGTACACGGAGCATATGTCTTAGTTTCTTAGTTAAATATTATATAAGTGATGCATGAAAGGAAAAGGGTGAGAACATGAACGTTTGAAGCTGTGAAGATTATCTGATGAATAAAACCTGTCAGATTGTGTCACGTTCCAATTAATGAGAAGCAGCCAATCGTGACGCAGCAAAGTCCCAGCTAGAGGAGGACACGCAAACCCGTGAAGCGTTCCTCATTGTCTTTAGTTAATAATTATGATTGTCTATGGTTATTAAACCATTAAAGACGTTGTGACTTGTGGTGAAACGGCGCCACCGCGGCCGCTGTCGGTACTGCAGCAGCAGAGCGGCGTCTCCCTGTGAGTTAAAGTCTTTATTAAACCTGTCCAACCTCAACGGACACCACTGTCCTCTGAATAATAAACACGTCTGTCCTCATCCCTTCTTAATGAGAGTCTCTGTCCTCTCCACCAGACCTCCTTGTAGAAACATCTCGTTTTAGCAGCTCCGTTCACCGGAATATGGAGGAGAAACACACAGAAACGGAAGCGAAAAGACTCCGAAGGCTCGTGTTGCTGTAAACGTCTTCCGGATGTAAGTTAGTTCAACGTGAGAGCCGATAAACCGCTACGGTCTCCTGATGAGACAACATGTCCAAAGGGCTCAGAGTGGGATTGTTATCAGACACGTTGGTTCTTCAGGTGATTCCGTGTTGCCGAATAACAGATGAGCTCCGCGTGGTTCACAAAGGCTCTTCTACTTGATGTTAGTGGTGATGTTTGGGCCGGTTAGGCAGCAGCGTTTGTTTAATTCAACCCTTTCTGAACAGAGTTCTGCAGCACACGTCACCGTCAGGCTGAGCGCTTATAAGCAGCTGCTTGGTTTGCCCACGTGGGGGCGCTGTGGCCCACAGAGCCACCGGTTAGTTCTGTGACGTCACATAAGTGCGTTTTAAGTGTTTCAAAGACACTAGAACACAACACACTGAACTAAACCAGAGACGTGTGTGGGACAACGTCCTGTAAGAGGACAACAAGGGAACTCGTGTTGATGTCCAGCAAGGGGACGTTTTCCCTCCAGATGTTAGTCCATCGTGTCCAGAGGCGCTGACGTTCTCAGTGAACTACAAGCAGGAAGTGAACTAATCCCACATGTGCTGCTGCTCGGTGACTGAACCCGTTGTTGTGAACAAGAAGAGGCTCTTTAGTCACCAAAGAACAACAGTTACTTCATTATCGTGGCTCCACTGACCTGTGATTGACAGGTGACATCACGTCACTACCTGAGTTAAGACCATGACGTCACTACAAGGCTTACCGCTACTTGAGCTTATCTGCATGGCCTCAGCGCTCTGCATCGTGCCGCCTTCATTCACGTGTCATTCAACATGATTGACAGCTGTATGAACAGCAGCTGAGGGGCGCGGAGACGTTCCTGCAGCAGGAAGAACGGAGAGAACTCAGAGCACCAGTAAAGGTCTTCAGGGAGCCCCGGTGGTGGAGCTCAGTGGTTCCATTAGCGCCTCGGTCCAGGGGAAGCTTCAGGAGAACGGCTGGTCATGGACGGGTAATAAGCAGCAACAGAAACATACGAGAAGACTGTCCACAGCTGCATCATGAGGGACCTCTGTCCTCGTGTCCCCTGTTGACTGGACGACACGTGGAAGCAGCTGAAGGTCCTGATCTCCACGCTGCTCGTATTAACCTCCCAACGTGGGGCCCTTTCTCAACGATGGGACGCAGAGGACGGACTTGCGTTCTGGGGAGAACAGACTCGGGGGTCCTGACTCACGGGGACAACAGAGGACGCTCATTTCATGGGACAGCAGCTGCCTCGATGACGTCAGCTGCTCTGAAACATTTGAATACGCTTCTTGACTGTCGGGTGTTTAACTATCACGCTTTTGTTTGCTTCTCATTTCAAACAGAAACGCTGTGTGTGACGGAGCAGCAGAGGAAACTAATTCACAGTAAATATAAATATCAGACATGAAAGTGTCTCAATGGAGCAGATCAGAGTTGTTAGAGCCTCGAGGGGCGAAGAGCAAAGAGGAAAAGGGCGGCGTTTACCCTGAACACCCGTCCACAGCAGCACAGAGAGAACGGCCCCCCCTCACCCACTGAGGGACACCGTGCACATCAGGAGCCCAACGACACGACCAACGTCCAACAAACAGGCGTTTAAAAAGGGCGGCAGTGCTACTTTCTGCACGGACGCTTCAGCTTCACCATTGGTGAGATGCTCTGTGTTTCAGTGTGTGTGTGTTACTCAGCTTCATCGTGTTCTATTTGTAGCCGTTTACCTGCTTCATCTTCCTCCGTCTGGATGTAGCGTGTCCTTCAAGACAAACACACAAAGTGAAACTATGTCTCTGTGATGACGGCTTTAAAGCAACATTTAGTGGCTTCAATGAAACGTCTCACTGTCTCTTGACTGTAGAACACGAGACATAATCTACACGTCCACAAGGAGACACGTCCTGGCTCGACTGCTTTCTGTCCCAACATGTTTTACTGCTCATCAGTAGCTGAAACATGCCTCTGAAACAGCAAATAGGATGTTTAGATCAGACGGTTTGGTTGTCAACGTGTCACTGGCAGTGATTGACAGCTGTGTTGGAGACTCCAGGCTCTGATTGGTGGCTTTCCTTTGGGCGCAGTGAAACATGCCAAAGGCCATTAGGAGCACTAAGCGCAGGCCGAGCATCCTGATCAGCATCACTTTTGCCTTGTTGACAAGTCGTCTTTTCCTCCTGCAACCAGCTGACAGCAGCTCCAAGAGGAAACGCTTCCCCACTTTGTGTCTCCTTGTTTGTCCCCGATGGCACGGCCGCAGTAGGAACTGCTCCAGGAGACATCGGGATGGACTGAAGTCCACAGCCGGCCTCATAACAGCCGACGTAGCCAGGCCCACTGTGAAGAGGGCGTAGTTACTGTCTGATAGAGTCCATGTGATGAGTACGGAGAACAGCACACAGCGTCGTGTTTACAGGCTGCTGTCTCCATGGCAACCAGGAGACTGGGAGGTGACGTCATGTCGACTGGTGTGTCGTCAGTTGTTGGGCAGCGGAGCTCAGGGAGTCATTGTCACTAATGAAGAGGCTGCTTCTTGATGTCCTCCTTCACTTCCTGATTCCAGCTGCACCCCCATGACGCACACACACACACACACACACACACACACACACACACACACACACACACACACACACACACACACTCTCTGATCCTCTGACCAGTGGGTACTGGGGTGGGAAGGTCAGGGTGTTATGTTTCCTTTTACTGATTGTATTCTTGTTCTTATCACTTGGTGGAAACACGTTTCAGACACAAGCCAGTTTACTTCCCGAGCGGCTGAACAACACAAACAAAACGTGGGGCTGCAGGTTGGCGTCTGTGACTAAACACAGGTTGGGTACAAGTATCCTGGGAATGAACGAGGTCACTAAAGTGGACGTGACTTTAGAGACGAATGTCCCCACACTGTACCAGGTGGACCAGGAGAGTAAGCACAGTGTGTGTCCCCAGCACCGCGCTGTCATTGGACAATAGAAGTCATGCTTATTGGACCCAAATGACCAGTAAGAATGTCAAAGGACAGAAATTCTCCTTCTTTTGTCCAGTTGCCAACGAGGCGGCGCCGAGCTCCCGCTTTCCACCGGCCCACTTGGCACGTGAGTTCATCCAACTTGTGTTTCAAACAGTGACCTCTGTAATGCAGGTAAATACCGTGTGACGGGGCTTCTGTCCAATGCGTCAATGACTTTTGTCCCTGATGGATTAAAACATGGACGCTGCACACGTGGAAATGCTAGCAGGCGCTTTTGTGTCCATCGTTCAGGCTCACGGTCCCAGAATGCACTGCGCACTGCCGTCCCAGCGGCTGTTGGCATCACTGAATACAAAGGAGTTCAGAATGAAGAGATCCTGAAGGATGAGCTGCCGGTCCTTGGTGCCCCGGACACCATGGAGAAGACTGCCAGCAGGTCACACACACACACACACACACACACACACACACACACACACACACACACACACACAGCGGCCTTTGCTTCATGTAAATGTATCATTCACATGCCAAATGAAGCTGTGATGAAGGGAAACGTGGAAGAGGAGCTTTGCTTGCTGCCTTTGCTAAACAGATGGTGTCCTTTACTTTAAGTTTTACTCGCCACACATAGAACAGGCTTTACGCTTCCTTTCATGGCGTTCTAGCCAATTGTTTAGAAGGTGCTTTGAGACGGGACTTCAACCCACAATCTACGTCCACTGAGTGAGACAGAACCCAGTTAGAAACGAGCGCTGCAGCTTTCTTTGCAGTGACATTAACTGTGAAACTGCTGATTTGACTTTGACATTACCAACTGCACTGCCATGTAATATGGGCGCACGTATTATACAGCCCACATTGTGCTAATCACTCCCAAACCATCTGTGGGAGATATATTCTATCTATAGATTGTACAGCTCCCCAGTCCAGCGTTTGGGACGGTCTGAATGGAGGGCAGATGCTGCTGGGCCTCTATGTGTTGCAGGTCGCGCTGTCTTGTGAAGCAGCTGGAAAGGGGGGAGGCATCTGTGGTGGAGCTGAAGAGAAACCTGGACTACGCCGCCTCAGTCCTAGAAGCTCTGTGCATTGAGGAAGCCAGGCGAGAGATTTCACTTCTGCTTTTCTCAAATAATCCATGAACATGAAGAAAAAGGGATTTTAAAATTATTTTCTTGAATTCTTTCACGATCGGCAGCTAAATAGACCTTTGAGCAGAGGTGGAGGAGCACGTAGAGAAATGGCCAAACGCAAACGTTTGTCTTAAAAAACCAACCTGTGGAGCAGAGGAGTCCACAAAAGGTACAACAATCCAAAGAATCCAAGGGGAAACATTGAAGTGTGAAAGCAGAAAGCAGGGTGAGGTTCAGGTTAACACATCATCCTCATGCACGCAGGACTTTATGGACACAAAGGGTTTCTTCCCGTCGGCAGTCGGCTCATCAACAGAGCGCGGCTCCCCCAGCGTTTTAATGGCACACGGTACTGGGCCATTCCAGTAGCACGGTGGCTTCCTCACTCATTTATAAATCACAACGGGATCATTTACACACAAGCTACGTCGTCTTAAGCATTTTTAAGCTAAAGTAAAGCACTCTAAAGATCTTAAGACTATATTAACTGCAATACCCCGTAAATTGGTGAAAGGCAATTAAATATTATATGTTAGTAAGTAAGATCGTCCATGGATGATAAATAAATGACAATTACATTATCATTCATTCATATTATTTTACTACTAATTAGTATTTAAATGATTCCATTAAGTCTATGTGTATGTTTTTGTAATATATTTAATTTAACGAGTAACTCGTGGCTCAATACGGTTTCCAAGTTTCTAACCCAGAATTGTTTAAATTCTTGCTGCACAATGTTGCGAGCCTTATTCCTTATAGGACAGTGGGACCCTGCACATGAATACAGAAGACCAGCAGGCAGTTACTAGTTAGTTACACAAAAGATGGCCGACCTGAAGGTAAACCAGTAGTCAACTCTCGTCTTGAGTCTTGAGGACCAGCTGGGTGACATCCGGTCGGACTCGGTGCCGTCAGAGGTTCGGGACTGGCTGGCTTCCACTTTCACCCGGCAGACGGTCGTGATGCTGCGCCGTAACGAGGACAAGCCACGCTTCCGCAGCATCGTTCATGCAGTGCAGGCCGGCATCTTTGTGGAGAGGTTTGGCTTGTTTGGTGTATTTGATGCAACAGTCATGTGGAATATTAGGCCCTTCATAGTTGTTTAGTCATGATGTGTGATGTTTGTTTCAAGGTTTTCCCATTTAACATGAATAATATAACACAGATAACATAAAGGGTTCATTGGTAATAATAATAAAACTCTGCATTATCCTCGTAGCTGAATAGGGTACAAACATGGTGGACTCCACTGGGTGATTGTTTGCTGTTGATGGTCAAAGCCAGCAGGGATACGCGTTACTTGTACGTGGTGCAACTAAGCCAATCAAATGTCCTCTTAGCTCAAACTAACCCGCTGACTGAAACCATGCTAGCTGATCCAGCTTAATGTCATTAACTGGAACCAGACGTCAGTCATCAGGATAATTGTGTGTCCGCGTCCTACTTCAAAAGGGGGAAGAGTCGATCAAATCAACTCAAAGGAAGAGGCTCTTTTTTCTCCGCTGACGAGCAGGAGGGGATCATGAACGCACCATATAGAACCAGGAGTTTGAATATGTGTGTGTGAATCAGCATGTGTGTGTGTATTCCCTCTATTCTTATCATGAGTTCACCTTAATCATATTCTATAAAGATGATAAGCTCCGTAATGAATAGTGATAGGAACGCCTTTTCAATAAGTGATGAAACACTGAATGACTCAATTACCTGCAGTTCCATAAAAGCCCTCTTTGATTGCATTTACTGGGACATCGGCAGGGAATGTAATGAACCATCCAGAAGTTTCTGTGCTGTTTCACTTCCAGCAGGAGAACCGCACAACGTTAAGCAGGACGGTTTTTTAATCTTCATCTCCCGATTGACACGTTCCTCCTCGTCTGTCTGCCTCTCTCCTTCAGCACTGGCTCAGTGAGTTGGAGATCTTTGCCATCATTTTTGCAGCTGCCATTCATGACTACGAGCACACAGGGACCACCAATAACTTCCATATTCAGACAAGGTAATTCCCACGTAGCATCGTTTGTAGCATTTCAATCCCTGCAGTCTCTGAGGACAGTGGACAACACTGGAGCATGAAGAGAGATCTAACAGGTGACCTAATAAAAAGCCTACTATGAATGATAGCAGCTTTACCTCATACATTGTTGGCATTATCACGATGACGGTGAGGGAGATCATTCCTGAAGTAGTCGTGTCGCATTTGCAGGTCAGACACCGCCATGTTGTACAATGACCGAGCTGTTCTGGAGAACTACCACGTCAGTGCTGCATATCGCCTTCTACAGCACAGTGATGACATGAACATTCTGTCTAATCTCTCCAAAGACGAGTGGAGGTAAGAGAAGAGCGCTGCAGCTGAAGGGACGTCCTTTTTTACCGCTGTTTCCATTCAATGACTTCAAATAATTCACTGTACAATACAACCCCCAGATTACAGTGCAAGTCATTGCTTCTAAAATACTGCCTCCTACTGGTGCTTAGAGGGAGCTACAGCTGATGATACCAGGGAGTAACACATCACCTTATTTTACAGTCAAGCAGAATCAAATGACTCTCATTTTAGGGACAAGTTGAGTAGTTTGGGGCAGAGTTGCATCGATCTGGCACTGCATTGCTGCAGAAATATAGAAGTGACAGCAACAGGATGAAAGCATCTCAGTCTCCTCTGATTAAACTTTCCCCAAGCTTCATCTAAGATTCCTTCTGCAGGGAGCATGAATGTTTTACTGCCTGCCCTCTTTCAGAGAGCTTCGGGCTCTGGTGGTGGAGATGGTGTTGGCCACAGACATGTCCTGCCACTTCCAGCAGATCAACGGGATGAAAAGCCACCTGCAGCAACATGAGGCGTGAGTGTTTCACGTCTGGGTCCGTCCCGCCTCATGCTGCCAGTCACTCCAGTCCTTCACAATGCTGAAACTATCAAACCATGATTGTTTCTGCTTTACAACCCTTCACGCGCCGCGTCCACTAACTGGACTGGACTTGCAGGCCCGACAAAGCAAAGGCCTCGTCCCTGCTACTGCACACTGCTGACATCAGCCACCCTGCCAAACGCTGGGACCTCCATCATCGCTGGACCACATCCCTTCTGGAGGAGTTCTTTAGACAGGTGACTACTTTGAATCAATGAGCGGCCTTTTCATTTATGCAGTACTCCACATGGCTCTGCACTAGTGACGAATAAGAAGAAGACAAAGTTTGGACCTAGTTTGTTTTCAGAGGTAAAATAAGCAGACGAGTACTCTGGGTGTAACATCAGATAAACCAGCGCTGCCGCTCGCAGCTCACCACCTGCTAACAATAGTTGATTGTATACATTCATTAGAATAAGGTTTAGTCTTTGTACATGTGAATTAGTAATGAGGTAGTAGAAGACGCTCAGCACCTTCTGGTGGACTTGTCCTCCAGTAGCAGGCAGTCAGTGGTTGTTCATGTGAGACAATGACTTAGGAGGAAGGCGTGTAGGGAGGGGAGGAGATGAACTGTGGCTGAAAACATGTCGACAGTCCGAATACACTCAGCGAGGAAACATTACAACAACAGGACGATTGTACATGTAGTCTGAAGTGCTGAAGCAGCCACGTGGGTCCAGATAAGATCATTGGTCACACTGAGACCATCTTAAGTACAAAAGGAAGAGATACTAACTAATAACGCTGCGGAGGTGCTACTGAAGTAACATGTACTACATGTAAAGGCAAATCCACATTCTATGTACAAATGACACACTAGTGTAAGAAAGGAATGAGAAACGAGCAAACAGATGGTGACGTGTTGTGTTGGTGAGCCTTGATGGCAGCACCTTGTAACGCTGCTTTGTCTACTCGTTTTTAGGGGGGTAAAGAAGCAGAGCTGGGTCTACCGTTCTCTCCTCTCTGTGACCACAAACCCACCACGGTGGCACAGTCTCAGATTGGTAAGATAGAATAAGAATCATTTACACCACGAAGCTGCTTGTTTATCTGCTATCTAATGAACAGTCTGCTCCAGTGTACCTCTGTTATGGAAACCGTTGTCCCAGTATATCGATTCATTTGGGAGAAAAGTTCAGATGTTTATACGCTGGACCAACATTCGTATGTAGTTGTTGTGCGTGTGGAAGTAGCATGAAAACTAAGTGATTATTTAGTTACTATCAAATAGTAAAAACATGTCAACACAAATTAGAATCAACAAGGTGAAGTGAATCTGTTAAGTGGGCGTGTCGTCCGTATGCGGCAGGATTCATTGACTTCATGGTGGAACCAACATTTACAGTGCTGACAGAAATGATGGAGAAAACTGTGACTCCGCTTGTTGAGGAGGCATCGCCATCTGGAACGGCTGCCTTCAGACGCTGGAGGTGACAAACAGAAGATTACAAACACTTATTTCAGATGATCCTGTGGTGTAGATCAGCCGTCCCCAACCTGCTCCCGTCTTCCCCTCACGGACCATCGGCTGACGTCCTCATCTCATCAGATACTGCCAAGACAGGAAGTCACAGATAGAAACTAAAACAGACCTTCAAAAGGCCCAATTTCAATTGTTTCCATGTGTCCATTCTGGGCCACCGTAGGAACATGACCACCCTCCCTAGATAGTTTTAACACTATTAAAAACCAGCATATAGTAAGAATCTATTCAATTTCATCAACAGATCCCCGATACGCTACACACTGTTTATTTAACGAAGGACTTTAATAACTTTAATAGGACTTTAATAAAGGAAGGACTTAAAAAGGACTTTAATAACTTTAATAACTTTAAGGATTTAATGAAGGACTGCTGGAGAAGAGCTTCTACTTCATTCCTGCTCCACTAGTGACGGACAAATAGATGCTCTGCAGAGACCTTTATAGTTATCACAGAAAATCTAAACTGATGAACCATTTCAACTATAGCACAGAGTTCTCTCGCCAGCCCTTCATCCACCTGAAGGAATCTTACCCCAGAACCCATTAACCACCTTAATTAGACCAGAGACCTGGACGGTCCCACATCGGATTCCCACCGGCAGAGACTGTGTCTCATAGAAGAGTTTATTGATATCCATAATAACCGCTTGTCCCAAAAGCATGAAAGATATATAAAAAGACACCTATGAAGTGATTAGTAACATTTTATTAATCTAGTGTTATGCTTTTCTCCATCGACGTTGATTCTCTCTACACCAACGTAGAGACCCAACTGGGTCTGAAAGCGATAAGGGACATTAGGAAATATCCTAATCCCACTGGGCCGGATGAGGGCCTCCTCACCCGTTCTACCAGAGAGGACTTTGTGTGGGTTTGTAGTTTCCTGCCTCTTGTGTCCCTGGGTTAGCTTCACTTCCTGCCCTGCGATTGTCCGCCGTGTCCCTGATTGTGTCCACCTGTATTTCCACCTGTGTCCAATCACCTGCGCCTTCCCTGTGTGTTTAAAGCACGTGTGTCTCTTGTCGTTACGTTGAATGTGTTTTGTATGTCGGCCTCGTAGTGCGTGCACGTCTTTTGATTGGATTACCAATATTGAGAGGCGGGTCCTATATGAGCAGGTCCATGCAGAACCTCAGAACTAGGAAACTGAATTAATTTGTGTACTACTATTAAATCTTAATTCCAATGAACAGCTTAGTAGTCTACTAAGCTGTTTTTCTAACCCACAATGGCAGAAGGAGGAGAAGATACCGATTTGATACCGAGAGGTCGCCCGAGGCCGACGCTACAAAGCCCGTCACAGGCGGGAAAGGGGTTCGTTCGCCACTTTCTTCGTTCCAACTACGAGCGCCATCAACGGCTCACAGGCCCCGAGAAGCTCTGCAAACTGGACTGCTGGGAATGCCTGTTATTTGCCAGTGATGGAGTTGGTGTTTGGAGCCACACTGGCTTTGCTAACTT